GGGTGGGGAGGTCTGTCCCTGCAGGGGGCGGTTTCCCAGTCCCCTATAGAAGACCGGCCCCCCCAGCAAGAAGGGACAGCAGTGCCCCCCCGCCCCCCCGTTCCTTACTGGGTTTCCAGAGGCACTGCCCGGCAGGGGAGGCGCCGCGGTACAGCCCCTCGTGCCACTTGCCGAAGAGCCGGTGGATCACCTGCCCCCCGCGGCTCAGCACGGCCCCCTGCACCTCGTTCACGCTGGAGCTCCAGTACCGGGCCTGCCGGAGGAGAGGAGGAGTTAGGGGGGGAGAGACGGCTGCGGTCGGAGGCTGGAGGGGAGGCGTGGGGGCCGAGGGGGGACGTGGGGCCCGGCCCCGCTCTAGGGGGCGGGGGGCTGGAGGGGGCTGAGGGCGAACGTGGGGCCCGGCCCCGCTCTGGGGTGGGAGGCTGGAGGGGACGGGGGGGGGGCTGTGGGGCCCAGCCCCGCTCTAGGGGTGGGAGGCTGGATGGGACCGTTGGGGGCCGTGGGGCCCGGCCCTGCTCTAGGGGTGGGAAGCAGGAGGGGGCCGTGGGTGACCGTGGGGGCCGCAGGGGGGAGGTGGGAGGCTGGAGGGGACTGTGGGAGTTGTGGGGGCCGCAGGGGGGAGGGGGAGGCTGGAGGGGACCATGGGGGCCATGGGGGGCTGTGGGGCCCGTCCCCCCCTACCTTGCAGAAGGTGATCTTGCAGTGGTAGCTGCTGTCCCGGACGTTGCGGATCAGGACTTCGCCGTAATGCTCGATCCATCGCTGCCCGCTCAGGATGTTGTGGATACAGGACGTCACCTTGTTCCACTCGAAGTGGTCCCCGAACCTTGGCCAGCGAGAGAGACAGTTACCGGGCGCTGGGGTGGGGAGGGCAGGGCCACAGGTCAGGGGCTCACCAGCCCCAGGGGTCACTCACCTGGGCAGCTTGACGTTCACGGTCCCCACAGGGACGATCTCCAGGGACTTGCCCCAGAATTTATTTTTCCACTTCATGTCTGGAGGGAGCAGAGAGAGACGGTCGCGTGCTCAGGGCAGTTCTGACCCAAACCCGCGCTCCTGAGCACGGAGGAGCCCCCCCTCCCACAGGGCTCAGACCCACCCCAGCCCCTGGTCCCGCAGCCCTGAGCGCAGAGGGCAGGAAATCACGGGCGGTTCTGACCCAGCCCCGGTCCCGCAGCCCTGAGCACAGGGAATCCCGCTGGCCGGACGGTTCTGACCCTGCCCCGATGCCCTGGTGCTCACCTTGCCAGAAGATGAAGTTGTCTGACTCTGCGTGGCAGGCGGAGACGGGCGGGTGGTGGCAAACCTGCAGGCAGTGGGGAGAGAAAGGAAGAGCCGTGCAGCTGTGTCCTCTGTCTGGAGAGCTGGAGGTGGGGGGAGCTGTAATCCCCCCACCCTCTGCACAAGAGCTTTCTCTCCTCTGCAGCCCCCGCCCCCCATCTCCGTTCTCAGCTATGGACACTTCTCCTCTGTGATACAAAATAACGCTAGGCGAATCCCCACCAGCTGCGAGCAGTACGGTGCTCATGACACACGCAGCAGGCAGTTTGGATTCTGCCCAGGAGAGGGCAGGGGTGTCACGTGCACAATTTGTTACAGTGGCTGACTCCTGTCCTTGTGTCCCACCTCCCCAGCCTGGCCGGCTGGCTTAGTACCTGCTCGCTGATGAAGCGGAAGCCTTTGTCCGGCCGAACGCACTCATAGGTCTCGCCCAGGACGGGGTTAAAGGGTTTGCTGCCCGCACGGTAATAGGTGGAAGCGTAGGCAGAGACAGCAAAGGCAGCGACGCAGACCTGGGGGGAGAGAGTCACTGGGGCCTGGTCCATATCCGGCCGTAACGCCCAGGCCCCAGGGCAGGTGGTGCTGTGGGCAGGGCTAAGAGGGTGGAGGGGCAGCTACGGGGAGAGACGGGTTCCATTCATCTAGTGGAGGTGGGACCATGAGGTAAGGGCTATGGATGGATGGAACTCCCTGCTGCAGGGCGACTGGATTAGACATTTCTAGGAATGAGGACAAATGGCTGCGGAAGGAGCTGCCCGGGCCTTTGACCCTCATGCTTCAGGGCCCGAGCCGGAGGGGTCAGGAAGTAATATGGCCAGCCGCACAGCAGTGTATGGCTTTTGCCTCTTCCCACGAACCCCCCGCCCCCGGGGACGGGCTAGGCCGAAGAAGGGACCCCCGAGAACTGCTCTGTTGTGGTGAGAGCGGGGCAGAGGGCGTGGGCGGAGGGGCAGAGACGGGGGCCGTACCAGGCGCTCGCAGGGGTCGGCGCAGCGGCTGGCGGCGTCCAGCAGGGCGCTGTACTCCAGCTCCTCGCAGAGCCGCTGCAGGGTGTTGAGTGGCTCGTTGAGCTGCACCGGCATGGACACCTTGGACAGGTCCTTGCCCACGTTGTTGCGCAGGATGTTCCACAGGCTGACGTCGCCGGCGGGGACGCTGGGGGCCGGCAGGCAGCTCCGGCGCGGGAGCCTCGCGGGCAGCAGCACGGGCAGGGGCAAGGGCAGGGGAGCCGGCAGCGCCCCCCCTCCCGGCTCGGACGCGCACGGCGCAGGCCCCCCGTCCGCCGCGCCTCGGCCTGCTGGGGGCAGACATGTGAGTCGCCTGGGCCCTCCCCCTAGCCCGTCCCCCTCCCTCAGCTATTGCCCCCCGGATTCTCCCCCTCCCCCTAACCTCCCCTAGCCATCGGCCCCCCCAGCCTGCCCCCCTCCCCACAGCCACCCCACAGCCTGGCCCTCCCCCCAGCCTGCCCCCCTCCCTGCAGTCGTCGTCCCCCCCAGCCTGCCCCCCTCCTTGCAGCCATCAGCCCCCCAGCCTGTCCACCTCCCTCAGCTATTGCCCACAAGCTTCTCCCCCTAGCCATCAGCCCCCCAGCCTGCCCCCTCCCCGCAGTCATCGTCCCCCCCAGCCTGCCCCCCTCCTTGCAGCCATCAGCTCCCCAG